ATTTTCTCTAACTTTGATCAAAGGTATCTCGATGACCACCTGATCAAATTCGATGAATTTTTTTTTATTTGAATTCTACAAGTCTATAGAATTCAAATAAAAAAAAATCATCGAATTTGGTCAGGTGGTCGTCGAGATACCTTCGATTAAAGTTTTTAAAAAAAGAGATCTACATGGGTGTGGAAATATCAAAAAAGGGGGTGTGGAAATATCAGGACCCTTTAATTAAAGTTTAAAATTTCGATTAACCAATGAAATTTTTACGATATCACGGGATGATCTACAAAATGAAAGCCCGCTATGCTACATGACAATTTTAACGGGACGTGTACAACACTGACGGTTTTTCGCTTTGCGGCACTTATATAATCGTAAATATTTACTAAAAAATAACTCGATCAAAGCCCTTATTTGGAAACTTAAAATTCAGAAATCTGGCATTTCTTTGGTAGCTTTCATATAGGAGCCCTGAATACCGCATCCTTCTATTAATGAGACTTTCGCGGACAGGGTCATTTCCGTATAGGTCACTCGTCATTCGTACACCATATGTTAGTTTTAATCTATATATAAAACATTAAAAATTTTTTATTAATAAGTATGCACACAGAATCTTCATATAAAAAAAAAATTTAAAACACTATAAATCTTATATATATACGTATATATATTTTGAACTTTAGCATTCAAGACTTCAGAATATATATAAATTTCTAATAAATCTGCGTAAATGTAATTATTTATACTAATTTGCAAATTTGTACATAGTACTGTAGTAAAATTTATTACGAATCTGTATGCAAAGTAAATGCTAGTTTATATCCGTACATTAATAACCGTTATACTTTTATCTTAAATTTACACTTCCGAACAATGAACTTCTAATCAGTATATTCGGAGACCCTTTTCATACATGGCTACTCAGCTTAATATATTTTCAAATGATATTTTATTGCAAGTTACTTGTTCGTTTAAAAACTTTAAATAACCAGTTAATAATATGGGCTAGTGGGACAAATTGACAATTTTTTTATGCCAACATATATTGTAGTATCAATGATTGATAATTTTTATCCAGTCGTCGACCGTATTAAAACTTTGTTATGCCCAAATGGTTTGTTTGGAATAGCAGATTTCTACGTCTCCGGTCGCGTGATTGGTAATGATATACAAGTTCAACAAGGATACTATTGTAACTGGTTTACGCGATGGTTTTGGCAAGCTTGGTTTGAATTTGACCATATTAACCTACATCCATCTCGTCGTAACTACGTTGAGTACCAGTTCAATACGCTAAAGAGTTTTAATGGACGTAATCATTTCTTGATTCCTTATTTAGTCCAGATCCCTTATTATGTTTGGTTAGGTGCTAACAAATCCTCAATTTCCACTTCTCATACTAACTTAACTACTCTGGAAAATTCGTTCGTAGTTTTAGATCACTTAGATTAGTAAAAAATAAAAAAAATTATCGCAATATATTTTAAGCTTTTATATATATATATTTTTTTTTTACCGTTGTGATTATAAAAAGTACAATTTTGACTTGACATATCCCCAGCACGAACGACAATAACTGCCAAAAACCATTTATGTACAGAGCATGTGATT